CCAATAGCATATCATCAACATATAACAACAAATAAATTGGTTTCTCAACTGTATGACCTTTAAAATAAACACAGCAGTCATACTTGCTCCTTCAGAATCCAATCTTCTCCATATACTCATCAAAACGCTTGTACCACATCCTTGGTGATTGTTTGAGACCATAAAGGGATCTCTTCAACAAACATACTTGATTCTCTGTACCCTCCTTGATGAACCCATCTGGCTGTTTCATATAAATTGTCTCGTCCAACTCTCCATGGAGAAAAGCTGTTCTAACATCCATTTGTTCAAGCTCCATATCGAAATGAGTCACCATTGCAAGTATCATTCTTATAGAGTTGTGCTTGACTACGGGTGAGAAGATTTCCTTGTAATCCAACCCTTCTCTCTGTGTGAATCCACGTGCAACCAACCTTTCTTTGAATCGTGCTTTCTCAATTCCAAGAATACCCTTTTTCCTTTTAAAAATCCATTTGCTTCCCACAATCTTTTGTTCCTTAGGCTTGTCCACCAAAATCCAGGTCTGGTTCTTCTCCAGTGAACCCATTTCCTCCTTCATAGCTTTTAACCAACTATTTTTGTCTTTACTCCTCATGGCTTCAGAATACGATTTGGGTTCATCATGATCTTCAAGATCTAATCCCACTGTGAAAGCAAATGAGACGAGATCAGCATGCCCATATCTCTGTGGTGCTTTATGTGCCCTTCTTTCTCTGTCCCTTGCCAAGCTATAACTTTGAATGGACCTTTCTTCATCGTCTAGTTCTTGTTGGAGTATATGTTGCTGCCTTTGAGTTGCAGCTTTAGCCTCTGTTATAACTGTAAACTCCACCTCAATTTTAATTGTTTGATCTTGAGACTTCTCATGAATCTCTACCTTTGATGGCTTCACCAAATTCGCCATCTCAATTTCATTGAATACTACATCCCTACTAATCAAACACTTCTTGTATCCAGGCTCCAAGCACCATAATCTGTAGCCTTTAACTCCTTCGGGATACCCAATGAAAATGAATTTTAAAGCTCTTGGTTCAAGCTTATCTTGCTTAATATGAGCATAAGCAATGCAACCAAAAACCCTCAGTTCAGAGTAATCAACCTTTCTTCCACTCCAAACCTCTTGTGGTGTCTTAAACTCCAAAGCTGTAGATGGACACCTGTTAATACAATACACTGCTGAACTTACGGCCTCTGCCCAGAAACTCTTTGGTAATCCAGCATGATTCAGCATACACCTTACACGCTCAAGGATAGTTCTATTGAACCTCTCAACTAACCCATTTTTTTGAGGTGTGCCTCTCACTGTTTTATGCCTTGCCACTCCATTTTCTCTACAAAATTTACTGAATTTCTCATCACAAAATTCAAGGCCATTATCAGTCCTTAATTTCTTCAAATTCCTTCCTATTTGTGTTTCAACCAGGACTTTCCATTCCTTAAACCTGTCAAACACTTCATTTTTCTGTTTAAGAAAATAGACCCAGACCTTCCTTGAGAAATCATCAACAATGGACAGAAAATACCTTGCTCCTCCGTGAGATTCAGTCCTGGATGGCCCCCATAAATCTGAGTGCACATAATCAAGAACTCCTCCACTCGAGTGTGTGCTTGTTGAGAACTTCAATCTACTTGCTTTACCCATCACACAATGCTCACAAAACTCCAATGGCTCTATCTTATCTCGTCCAAACACACCTTGTTTAGCTAGTTCATCCAGTCCTCTTTGGCTGACATGACCCAATCTGTGATGCCATAGTTTGGTAGCCACATCTGATGTAATAGTTGCATTGGATGATCCTATAACATTAGAAGATCCTACAACTACAGTTTGACCAACAAGAGAGTAAAGCCCATTCTTCCTGACCCTCTTTAATATCACTAATGAACCTTTGAACACTCAAACTTCCTTGATCACACTTGTAAGCATATCCTCCTTGATCCAGAGTTCCAAGAGAAATTAAATTTCTCTTGAGTTCTGGAACATGTCTTACATCTTGTAGCACTCTGTCCATGCCGTCAAACATTCGTAGCCTTACGGAACCAATTCCTATCACCTTACAAGCTTTATTATTTCCCAACAAGACTGTGCCTCCATCAACTTGGCTGTAAGTTTTGAACCAGTCCTTATTTGGGGTCATGTGGAATGAACAACCAGAGTCCAAGATCCATTCTTTGTGTGTGTCTTGGTCTGTAATGGCCAACACCTCAGCACTTTATAACCATCTTGAGTACAGCCACATCTCCAATGTGTTTGTTTCGTTCATTGGACCTTTCTCTGTTTGGACAGTCTTTCTTGAAATGTCCTTCTTTGTCACAAATGAAACACCTCTTGTTCTTACCTTTGGATTTTGATCTTGAAGATTTCTTTTGCTTGAAGTCTTTCTTTTCTTGCCTTCCTCGTGTGAATAGGCCCTCAGCAACCTGTTCCCCTTTTGAGTCACCGTTTCTTTGGATTTCCTTCGAGTTCAATGTTGCCTTAACTTCTGCCATTATAAGAGATGCCTTCCCATACAACATTGTATCAACAAAATGCTCGAATCTCTTTGGCAAAGAACTCAGCAAGATGATTGCTTGATCTTCATCATCAATCTTCACATCAATACTCTTCAAATCCAGGATGATTTTATTAAAATCATCCACGTGTTTCTTCAAAGATTTTTCTTCCTCCATTTGCAGCGTATACAAACGTTTCTTGAGATATAATCTGTTGGCTAAAGATCTCTTTAAGTATAGAGACTCTAACTTCTTCCAGATTTCCATGGCGGTCTTCTCCTCTGCAACTTCACGAAGAACTTCATCTCCAAGGCTGAGCAAGATTGCACTGTAGGCTTTCTTTAAAACCTTAGTGCGCTTCCTCTCCTCCACCTTCATGATGGCTTCATCCGACAATGCAGCATCCAAGCCTTGATGAACCAGCAACGCATTCATCTTTACTCGCCAAAGACTGAAATCACCTAAGCCTGAGAACTTCTCGATTTCCATCTTAGCCATCGCCATTTTTCTCAAACTCAACCAAAGCTCTTGATACCACTTGTTACGTAAGAATCAGAAACGAAAGAAGAAAAACTATTATATGAATTTTATTGTATGTATTATTATGCAAAATTAGTTACAGAGCTGAATATATATAAGACCAATTACAACAGGGAGTGATTCTCAAAGAAGACCTCTTATCAATTTCATGGATGTCACTAAGAGTTATCAATGTTTTTAAAGGTAATAAATTGCTCTAGTGATCTAAAAGACAAGGATTTCATTACTAAGCACAAGAGATGTAATTATAGAGATTGTGCCATCAAATGTGCAAATTGTGACTGATAATGTAGATGTTTGTAAGGTAACAAGTTTGTTCATAGAGGCAAAGTTTCTTCCATATATTGAACTCCTTGTGTAATGCACACTTTGAACCTTGCATTGAAGAATATATATGCAATCAAGAACATTGAAATAAATATTATTTACGAACAATGCTCTTGGATCACACAAATTGTGAATAATGAATCTTATATTAAAAACTATGTCATGGAACATTCTAAGAGATTTTCAAAATGTTCAACAATTTCAACACATTGAAATCTTTTTATTGCTCTGACAAGATTTTCTTCAACCATATTAATGCTTTAGGAGGATTAGAAAATTGAAAATAGTGATCAATTGTCTTCTTATAGGGAGGATGATGTTGACAAAACAAAATTTGTGAAATAGACATTGTTGGATGATATTTGATGGGACAAATTCAATTATGATCCTATCTATGAGTTTCTTAGAAAAAATGATACAGATGCAATTTTTCTTCACTTGGTGTATGAAATGTGGAATCAATGATTGAAAAAGTAAGAAAAGCCAGATACCAACATGAAAGAAAGGAAGAAGTTGAAGAATCATCCTTTATAAGGTAGTAAAGAAAGGAAGAAGTTGAAGAATCATCCTTTATAAGGTAGTAAAGAAAGGAAGAAGTTGAAGAATCATCCTTTATAAGGTAGTATGTTATATATATAAATGCATTTTTATAAATTAGTTATATTGATTTATGATTATTTTTTAATATTGTAGATATTATAGTCTTGAATGGCTAAGTGAAGATTCACAGACTGCCCCACATCAAGGATTGGAACTTATTTACTATTGAAAGGAACAAATGTTTTAAAAGGTACTTTGTTGATGTGGAAAGAGACAAGTAAATTTGGAGTTTGCAAATTTTTCCAATGAAAGAGAAAGCTTTGATGATGTTGACTCTTTAAGGGATAGGGGTCAAATTGATGCAAAATCTTGGTGGCTAGTTCATAATGTTCATGCACCAACACTTCAAAAGATTGTCTTTAAGATACTTGGACAATTATGTTCATCTTTATGTTGTAAAAGAAATTAGAGTATGTATTCTTTCAAACATTCTTTGACAAGAAATAAGATGACACTTCAAAGAGCACAAGATCTAGTATTTATTCTTAACAATCTTCATCTCCTTTCTAAAAATTTCACACAATACAATCAAAAGGAGACTAAAATGTGAGACACTGCTAGTGATAAATTTGGTTCTCTTGATGACCATGAAATTTTTAAAGTTACTAACTTGTCTCTTGATTAACCATCTTAAGTCGTGTTTTTTTTAACAATGATGGCCATTAATGATAATTACTCATTGTATTGCTTTATTTGTGAATCTTTATTATGATGCTTTATGTTACATTTTTTGGTTTGGACTATAATATCTCTTAACAATTCATTTATGAGACTTGTTGAGTTATTGACATATCAATATATAATTTTCTTGTTACATTATTTATATTATATTATATTATATTATATATATATATATATATATGTTTTATGTTTTATTTTTATTTTTTTGTATCTTTATGTTAGTGTCGTGTTCGAATTAGTACTAAATAGATAATTCAAATATATAAAACACACATCTAGATTGAGTATTGTGGAAGATGTTGAAGTGAGGATATACTTTAGGAAATTTTTTAAAATGACAGGTGTATGGAGCCAAAGGAACGGGGGGACGGGGTGCAGGAAGCAATTTTCCACATGCTCTTACAACCATTGGTTAGTTATCCACAAGAATATGTGTAATACTAATGATAAAACGAAACTAGTTTGCTTCTAATTGATCACGTTGCTTTTCAGTTTTCATCCAAACTGAACAGCAACTTCTGATTCCAATTATGCAAACCAATCTGCAACTCATCTCATCACCTCATGTGAGAACTTCAATCAAAATTGTGAGCACTTTAAACGAAAGCCACCAAAGCAATCATCAGCAACAACCCTTGTCATCAGGAAAAATTAAACGTCTTGTTCTCACCCAAGAAGGTAGAACAAAGCTCAACATTTACCCCGATAGAGACTTCTATTCATATCCACGATTTGTGACCCATGTAGATGATGGCTTCATTTCTACACTCACCAACCTTTACAGAGAGAGGTTGAGACCTGACACTGAGGTTCTTGATCTCATGAGCTCTTGGGTCAGCCATCTACCCAGTGATGTGAAGTACAAAAGAGTGGTGGGGCATGGGTTGAATGCACAAGAGCTTTCAATGAATCCAAGGCTGGATTTTTTTGTTGTCAAGGATCTCAACCAGGATCAACGGTTTGAATTTGAGAGTTGCAGTTTTGATGCAGTGTTGTGCACGGTTAGTGTGCAGTATCTGCAACAACCAGAGAAGGTTAGTTTAGATTCTCCATGAACCTCTTTATACTGTGAATTTAGGTCAAGTTTGTTTAAGTTTTTATGTTAACACTTGGTAAAGAGAAAGGAAATAGAGAGGAGAGAAGGAAAGAGAAACAACTTGAATAGAAAATAAAATAAGAATTGTGATTGTTTGATAAAAAATAAAAATAAAAGAGGACATGAGATAAATTTTTTAATTGGTTTATAGTAGATTAAATAAAAAATAAAAATTAATATTATCAATTAAATTACATAATTACCTTTTATATACTATTAAACTTATTTCAATAGGAGGGCAAAAAAGTAAAAAAAAAATAACTTTCCACCTAATCTTCTCATATTAAGATGTATAAAAAAAACATGGGAGTCCCACCACAAAATTCCCTCACTCCCCCCTCAAATCTATTACACTAAGTACCCACTAGAGTCATCCTATCAGTGAAGGAGTTGGAGTAGAATACATAAATTCTTAAATTTTTATTTTTGATGCTATTCTTGTAATTTTGATAAATAAAAAAATTATTGCTAAAAACTAAAAAAAAAATCAACTATCGCCCTTTTCCATTCTCTTCTCTCTCTCCTAAATTTCATTACACCAAACACACTGAGAAGAAGATAATCAAAATGTAAAATAAAAATAAACTTCATTACACGAAATACATAATTAATGAAGAAGGAAATTAGAGTAACTATAATGGGAGTTGCTTGTTCCATGAAACAACTCAAGCTCCAGTTTCTTGTCATTGGAAGACTTTGACGTGACAACATGAGTTGATTGAAAAAGAGAGAGTTACTTCCTGAAACAACCGTTCCTTACCATATTTTGGGAACGTTTCGAAAATAATAATGATGAAAATTAATTTCTTATAATATTTATGTATTTACTATTATTTTATTTTATTTTTAATATCTACTTATTGTATATTTTTTCTCGTAATTTATTTTCTTTCATTGTAGTGCAATTATCATTTTTAATAATAATTTAAATTTGGTTCATAAATGATTAGAAAAAAAATTCTAAAAGTTAAATTTCTTAAAGTTTCTTACTATTGGAGTAAATTTGTGTTTGAGTTGCTTAATGCTGACATGGCATGCTAGAGACCATTTTTTTCATTTTTCAATGCATGAAACAACTCAAATGAGTTGCTTCCATTGGAGATGCCTTGTAAAATAAAATAAGTTTAACTTAAAAGAAAGACTTATTTAAGTTGTTGTTTCTTTCTCATGTCAGTATTTTACGAAAAAATTTATACAAATAGAATCAGATATAACATGCACTATTAGCATAAAAGTTTTTACATTTACAAAATCAATCAAAATTTATTTTTGAAATTACTCTTAAGATAATTAATTTTTAAATTAAATTACATTACCGTGCTTATATTATTTCCAAAAGTCAGTTTCTTCTTTATTTATTATCAGTTCAAGTAATTTGGCTACGGGGTAGTCTCATAAAACCCACAATGATTATACCCTAAATACAAAAGAGAAAAAATCACAAGAATTTGTGTTGGATTATAAGTTGATTGATATTAATGAAATATGCAGGTATTTGAAGAGGTGTTCCGGCTACTAAAGCCAGGAGGAGTGTTCATAGTGAGTTTTAGCAACAGAATGTTTTATGAGAAAGCCATAAGTGCATGGAGGGAAGGGAGTGCTTATAGTAGGGTACAACTTGTGGTTCAGTATTTCCAATCCGTGGAAGGTTTCACAGAGGCAGAGGTAGTTCGAAATCTGCCAAATGCTCAAGAGAACAAGTCACCAATTGGTTGGATCCTGAGGCTTTTTGGATTGCTTTCAGGGTCAGATCCCTTTTATGCAGTCATTGCTTACAGGAATTTTAAGCCCATACTTGATGACTGAAATAGAGGCTTGTTATAGACTAATATATAAAGGTAAAAAATTTATTGACATAAACGGTAATAGGTTGAGTTCGGAATTTAAATCTTGATTTTGAATATAAAATAGATTATATTCGACGGAGAATATTCATTATAATATTTATTATTTTTTATAAAAATTAATCATTACTTATGATGATAAATATTATATATCAATATTATAATTAAAAAAATTAAAAGTAAAAAATGTGCTATATTGCTATTTGTCACTAATGAATAAGTTAAAATTATGTTCACGCGTCATAGACTTCCTTTATTTACTTTTTTTAAGAAAATATTTGGTTATAGAAATTGACATTTTGCTGAAATGCTGCAAGTAAATATCATTTTAGCATCAAATTCAGCTTCTCTAGACACTAGCATTAAAGTTGAAAAAAGTGTGGATAAGAAAATTTGATTAATTTCGTGTTGGATGCGTGAGCTCATAAGGCAAGATAGGATTTGGAATATAATCATTAAAGTGAAATTAGGGGTAGTCCCACTGTAGAAAAAATAAATGACAAAGTCTTGTCTTATACGGTTAAGTGGAAAAATCATGTAAAAGCACTAGTAAAGAGGAGTAACATAGAAGATAATTCAATAGTTAGAAATAAAAGATGACCTAAGAATACTGCAAGTCAAATCATTAGAAAAGGCTTTGACGTGAATGACCTACCTTTACACTTAATATAAGACAATTATACCGTTATATGATTCATGTAGTTTATTCCTCCTGAAAATAAAAATTAGTTGTTATTGTCATTGTATTAAATTGTAAAGTAAAACATCTATTTGCATCATAGTACTGATATTTCCTTCCGTTTTTCGCTTCAATTTTTCGTATAACATGATATATATATATATATAT